AAAAAAAAAAAAAACGTGGCAAAGGCTTGTAACTTATGCGCTTGGAGTGCAAGTGCTCCAAGGCACATGCCTTGGATTCTCAAGTCACAGCAGCTTCAAGAAAACCAATGGCTGGAAGCAAGCTCAGGAGTAAGACCGCCACAACGCCGGCAAAGTAGTATCTGGCGTGACTTGCACTGCCGTGGAGGCCCTGCCCATTGCAGAAATACCGAGAAATGATGTGTTAAACCTATCAACCTGCTCTCAAACACGGCTGCAATACATTGCAATGCCTCTCGCTTAAACACCGAGTCCCCGGGCCAGCCCTCAGAGAGACAAAATGCTTTCTGCCATGGCTATGTGACAAATGTTGTGAGCTGCCGGCTCCATGAGATAATGCAGGTACTGCGCAGAGCTATACCTGCAAAAAGCACACCAACGCTAGAAGCCACAGCATTCTGGAGACAACTTCTCGGCTCAGGTCTTTATGTCTCGTAGAGTCGGATGATGACGGGTGAGTTGGTCGAGAACAGGATGTTCTTCTCGGAGAAGGCACGTTCCTGCAATTGGAGCTTATAACAGCTTACATGTTATGCAACCTGCCACTGCTTGTTTCTTTGCTTCTGAGCCCTCTATTTTGTACTTTTTGCTCATGTGCAACCCACCGAGTCGCTTCTACTACTGTCGCAAGGAAAGATTTCGGAGTACTGCTACGAAAGTAATCATCTCATCTCAGACTCTCTGTCCTTCATGTCCTCTTGGATGATGTAGCCTTTGCTGATACCTCAGACTGTTGTGTGGCCGTCTCAAGTAATCTTACTTTACTCGAGGCGTCAAGCTAGATTCGATGATCAGCTTCCTCGATTTGGAAAGCTAAAAACTAAAAACAAAACTTCTGCGAGCCCAGCAGGATTTCTTCAGCTTGGAGCGCGTGGGGCTTTACACGCTCATGGCCTGAAGCATCTGTCTGAAACGTCCCCATCTTGACAGATGCCCGGGAAGACAAATAAAATCTCAACAAATTCGCCTAGACGCAGCCCTGCAAACTCAGGCGCAAAGATCTGAAACTGCTGCACTTCAAGCTTTCTTGGAGGCTCACTTTGTCAGCGCATATGCTTGTCCGGATGTCTTGTGCTCCACCATCTCGACCTGGGTACAGGACGGAACGAAATCGAAGACTCTGCAGACTTAGCAACGCGCCGAGGCACGAGTCCAAAGCCACCAGATCCGAGAATGCCAACGGCTTGGAGATCACTCATCAAAATCTTGGTTGTTGTGCTTGAACAAGCTGACGCCACCAGTCATGTGGCATTTTGCCCGAAGCAAAGCTCAGAAAATCCAACAAAGCGTCATGGCCTTGGCCAGGATCGCCTGACAGCAGGAATATGCAGACATTGTTGTTGATGAAACAATTGAAACTTGCAAATCGCTGGCCATAGAATAAAACACAAGCGCCGGCCAAGTTCTAGCGAATACTCTGGGTGGTGGCGTGCCACGCCAGTCACACGAGGGTGGCAGGGTTGGTTGGGTTTGGGTTTTGGGGCAGCTGGCAGAAGGCCAGAGACTCCTAAGTCGGGCATCGGTCTGTGCCTTTAGTGATGAGACGCTAACTTAACAGTAGCACTAATGGCAAGCACAATAGATATCCTAGTTGATAATAAGAATAGTACTGAAAATTATGGTAATAGCTTTACGATTGGCTTCAGACTTCTGCACTGTGGAAACAGTACTAAGTCAAAGAAGGTGACCATCCAGTTTCAGGGTCCTCAATGGGCTGCCCCCAATATACACCCCCTTGAACTAAGAAGGCCCAATAAGCCCTACCTGGACCCCAAAAGTATGTAAAATAGTGGCCTTTATGGCTGTCATTATGAGTTTAGGGCTATTATTCTACATACTTTTAGGGTTAAGGTAATGACCAACAAGCCCGAATAAGCCCAAATTGTCCCCAATAATCAGTAGTCCCATGATGAACTGATTTAGACACCCCTAAACCTTAAATCCTAAACCCTAAGACCCAAACCCGGTCCTGCGCAAGCGAGCAGATGGTCCGCAAGTCTTCTGCGGGCAGGTACTCTTCCGTATGCCTCAGGCTCGAAACCGGCCATGCTACCACGCTTCTGGAATCTGGGTTTAGGGTTTGAGGTTAGGGCTTCTAAGCGAGGGGTGTTTCTTGGGTTTAGGGTTGACGTGTTATACATATATGTAAGGGGGATAAAAACTGAAAGCAAATCGGGTATACAGGGATTCTTGCGATCATAAGATCATAAGGGCCACCTATACAATTAGAAGACGGTTGAGGGTGTATGAGGCCGAAATGACATGAAGCCTGTGAAGTACGAATATTGATGACTGTTCAGGCTTCTGCTTCTTCTTTACATGGGTTTCCAATAAATTCCGGGGGGCCGGGGGGGGGGAGTCCCTCTCAGAAGCTCTAAACCCTTGAACCCTAAACCCCGAGCCCTAAACCCTACAGGTGTGGAAAGCCCCTAATATCTGCTCTAAAGTCTAAACCTTAAGCCCTGAACTGGGGACATAGCTGGAGAGCCGCACAGCTCCAGAACTCTGAATTTAGGGTTTAAGGTTGAGGGTTTAGGGTTCCCAATTAGGAACTGTCATCTGTAATCCCCTTAAACTTAGAATACACATAATGTCTTGAATAATTCCTTGGGGGTTCTACTATGAGAACATTTGGTAATTTCCCTAAATAGGGGACCCCAATACAGGCCCCAAAATACTATAATCCTAATTATTGGGACCCCTAAAAAGGTACCCCTAATTTTGGGAAACCCTAATCCTTATATACCCCTATATAACCCCAGTTTCCATGTCATTTTCCATTGTCTTTTCCATTTGATTCTCCATTATAGGGGTAAATGGTACCCATTTAACAGTAATCCTTATGGGGATGGGGGTCCTGAGGACGGGAAGGGGACTTAGCCCTACCATCTCAGCCCTAACCGGGCTAAGCGCGTACGCTACCAAGTCTTTAGGGTTTAGGGTTTAGGGTTGAGGGTTTAGTGTTCAGGGTTGAGGGCCAACAGTGCTCAAGCCAGCAATAATACCCTGTTTTAGGGCTCAAGGTTTAGACCCCAAACCTTGCCCTAGGGATCCATGTACACAAATGTCACCTACATTGGGCCCTAAAGTCTGTAAATATTAGCTATGTTGGGCTATTTGGATCCCTAGGGTTGTTCATGTCAGAAACCATCCTGCTATGCACAGGCCTCAAGCTCGCAATGTGGCCGTCCAGATCGACGCCTCAGCCGGTTTTGGGTTATGGTATTAGGGTGTAGGGAGGGGCTTATCCAAAGCAACCCAGGTACTTATTGCAAAGATAGGGCCTTTGGAGGTTGCGCATATCAAGCTTGGCTACGCACTGCTTCTCTCTAGGCCCGAATCCCCACGTCCCCAAAACCCCAGATCATATGGCCTGCATGAACGTCCCGACAAGTACTTATGCAAACGAGGACTAGGAACCATGTTGCCGAAGCCTGAGGCTCCAAATAAACACATGTTTAAAAGCTTTGGGGCCCCACATTCACATACACACTAAACCCTAAACCCTAAACCCTTAATAAACCCTAAACCACTTGAAACATTAGGACTACTCTGAACCTCTCGGACCCCCATTGTGAGATCCTAAATCTCAGCCCCCAAAGCCCAAACCTTCCCACAGAAAGCCCAGTATAGTCCCAGGAGCCTAAGGATAGGAACCGTGTTGCCAAGTTTGCAGAAACTATGTTCCACAAGGTTTTGCTTGTGAAGTGTCCAGGCAGCAAATCAAAGTTTCGCCGGGTATGAAATTTAGAGTTCAAAGTTTAGGTGTAGGCTTTAGGCTTGAAGCTGATGTCGAGAGATTTTGAATAGACTGCGTGCTTCGGGTTCCGACTAGACGGAGAACATGGAAGAATTCATTTCGCAGCTCTGGCTCCTTAAAACCTCCCTCCATGTCCTGCGGAAGGCAGCTCTCAAGCCCAACTGCCAATGACGGCAATATTCCTTAAACCCTAAACCCAAGACAGGAAGCTCTTCACCACCATGTAGATGGACACAGCTCCAGTCCATCCGAGTTTTCCACCTTGGTTTGATGTATGGGGTTTACCCTAAACCCTATAAACCCTAAACTTGGGGGTACTGTGAAGTCAGTGTAACAAGCCCAAACGTGAAACATAGGACAACCAATACCAAAGCCCGGACATAAAAGGAACCCTGACGAATGAGTTTAGGTTTATAGGGTCTAGGGTTCAAAGAGCGCCTTCCATGTACAACAGGTGGACAACCCTGATATAAGCCTTTGCTACTGTTGGGCAGATCTCGCATTACCCGCCATTTACCACAAGGGTCCCCCTAAATTAGCCGTCAAGCCCTGAACCCTAAATGCAAAACCCCCTCCCTGAGGGTCCAAGGACCCAAATAACAGGGCTTTAGGGCCCAAATACTATAATCATCAATGGTATTTGGGCCCTGAAGCCCTATTATTTGGGTTCTTGGACCCTTAGGGCCTAAGCCCTTCATCCTCCGCAGCCTCTAGACGTCGGTCCCTGAGCCATTTGCAGACCAAATCTCCATAAGCCATACACAGTCTAGGTGTAGGGTTTAGGGTTTAGGGTTTTAGGGTTCAAGGTTTAGGGTTTAGGATCTACTCTAGAGGTCCATGTACCCAATAATTGGGTATATGGGGTTTTGGCAATAGGAATCATAGTAGAAGCTTTGATCAGATATGCGATGATTGGGTACTTGGACGCTTAGAGTTTTAAGGCTCAAGGGTCTAGGGGCCACCCACCACCAGTCAAAGACCAAGCCCTATACACAAGTGACCACGTGTCGGCAGCGGGTGGGTTCCAAACTCTTGCGGAACCTGCTTAACTTGGGGTTCATGTGCAAATATATCAGAAATCTGCATAAGCAGTACATGAGTTAATGTGACCCAACAAGTACGTATACTGTCTCCTCACATTACCTGCTCTATTGAAGCCACAAGTGAGTGCAAAACCGAAATTTGAACAAACAAATTAAACTCCCCTAGGAGGGTTCCGCAGGAACTTCCAAAGCCCGCAGCCGTATAGACCCTACCATGTAAGGATCTTGGACCTCAAAAGTGATAATCCCAAGCCTTAGCCCCCAAGGGCCAAACTTTCCCACCGAGACCAGGGTATGGTCTCAGGAGCCTTAGGGTAAGCCTTAAACCCCCCAAAAAACCCAAGCCATCTCAACCAGGCGCCGTTGTGAGTTTCTTCCAGCTTTTGGGTCTACCTTAACCCTAAAAGTATGTAAAATAATAGCCCTAAACCCATAATAACAGCCATAAAAGCCACCATTTTGCATGCTTTTGGGGTCCAGGTAATGTTTTTTGACCAGGCGCACGTGTGAGCTTCTTCCAACTCCGTCTCCTCGAAGGTCAAACTCAGCAAAAAAGCTGGCAAACTGGCCGTTGCCGAGATCTGCTCCTTCCTTGGTGTGGGGTAGTTTCCAATAGGCTCCCGACAGAAACCCCTAAGAAGGGCTCATTTTAAGGGAGCCCGTTATAAAGACCCCAGACTATAACAATTTACACTTTCCCTAACATGCCCTACAGCCTTTGCCCTAAACAGTAACTTCCGTGTTCTTTTTCATTCCTCATTCCGTGCTGATGGAAAAACCCCAAGCACAATCAGACACAAGCAGCTCTGAACCCAGAGCCGGTTGAAGAGGATTGTAACCCTAAGGGTCCAAGGACCCAAGTAGGGGTTTAGGACCCAACGACCATTAATGTTATAGTACTTGGGTCATAAAACCCTATTGTTTGGGTCCTTGGACCCTTAGGGTAAAGCATCCGAGGAATTCTTCGAGGGTCTGTCCTATCAGGAGTTCACTGGACCAAAGACCCCTACACCCCTGAACTGTAGAACATTTAAACTCAAGAACCTCCACAAAACCTATACCCTGGTTTAAACCCGCAAAACCCTAAACCCTAAACCCTAAACCCTGAACCCTAAACCCTACTACCCACAATACCCTAATACCCTCAATCGTTGGCCCAGTTTCAACTCCTTCACCTTGGAAAACGTCTAGCGCAGGACACGTTGCTGTTGAGGGCTTAGGGTTGGAGAGTTCAGATATTACCCTTGGCTTCTACGGTTTAGGGTTTAGGGAAATGCTGCATGACCCTAAATACCTTATACCCGGGGAAGTATGGGCTTATAGTATACTATGGCCATGCAGGATTTCGAGTAACAAGAGTAGGACTATACTGGGCTTGCTGGGAGAAGGTTTGGGGCTTTGGGTGCTCAGGCTTGGGAGCTCACAATGCGGGTCCAACAGCCTTAGAATAGGATTCACTCTTTTTTCTGTTTTAGGTGTCGAGGTTTGGGTTTTGGGTTGAAAGGTTTAGGGCTTGGATCAAAAGACCTCATGAGTTCAGGTCGTAGGCTTTGGGGTTCAAGTCTTAGGCAGACCCGCATTTACTCAGAAAACGGCAGTCTAAACAAGTTCAGAAGACACCAGCCACAATTACATGAAGGCGACCCGCGGCCCAGTTGAATTAAATTGAACCATAGCACATCTTCGTCATATACCCTTCAAAAAAGACCCCCCCCTCTCATGCCCCGCAGGCTTCAACATATGAGCTACCATCAATATTTCCAAGATAACTCATGGATATGGGTTCCTTTTACGGAATATATTAGGCACTATACTAAACCATTAAAGGGATCCCTATGTCCGCTCTTGATGGTCCCTTGGCCACCCTCAGCCCTAAGCCTATATGTATGAGCCAAGGAACAAACCACTGTTTTAGCACCGCGGTTTAGAGTGTCGCGTTCAGGGCTTATAATAGGCTACAAAGGCCTAAGCCCTAAACCCATCCTACACCCCAACCCTGATTCTGAAACCATACCCCTACTTGAAACCCTCGACTCCGCCACTAAGCCTTACATGTTACTATATGAACAATTCTGCAGGGCACCGAGTACCTTATACCCTCAGAGTTATGGTATTCGAGTATTCTAGGGTCATGGGAAATTTTGCAGTATAAACCCTACACCCTACACCCCCTAAACACTAAACCCTAAGCCCCAAACCCCCTTAATCCCAAGCCCTAAAGCCCTACACCCCACACCCCTACACCCTAAACTGAATTTCTTGTGATCCCGGGCACTGTAGTCTCCTGGCTGGCGATCAACTTTGTGACTTCACCGCCTCCGAGACTAAGGACAGTAATCCTCGGCTCAGAAAATTCCCTACCAAAATGGGTCTATAGGGTGGGTTTAGGGTTCAGGGTTTAGGGTTTAAGGTTCAGGGTTTAGGGGTGACCCTAATTATCTACTGCTTCAGGGGTGATACCTACCAGTTCAGGGGTAAGTGCTACTCAACGAATAGTGATTGGGGGTACAGGTAGGGTTCTGGATTTGAAAGTTTAGGGCTTAGGGTTAAGGATTTAGGTTGTACAGAAAATGTATAAGGTTCAGGTCCTGAGTTTTTGGGCGATATTTGGACGGAGTTTCATGTTTTGCTTTGTCGCCCTATACAATTTCTCGCAAAATCCAGGCTCGAGGGAAAAGGGCTTAAGGATTCTAAGCCTTAAGCCCGAAACCCTATATACCCTAAACCCTAAACTCTAAACCCTAAACCCTTAGGGCTTTTACCGTTTGTACCGCTTAGAGGCCTTGGCATTACATGGGCTCCAGTTCCACACCTAGCTTCCCCCTAGACGCGGTTAAGGGTTTAGGGATTTAGGGTTTAGGGACGTGGGGATTTAGGGATTTAGGGGTTAGGAATTTGGGGATTTAGGGATTTAGGGGTTAGGGATTTGGGGTTTAGGGATTTAGGGCTTAGGGATTTGGGGACTTAAGGGTGCAAGGATTTTAGGGCCTTTAAGGGTTGAGGGCTTTGGGGTTTAGGGGTTCGGGGTTTAGGTTGCCCGAGATATCCTCAAATAAGCTAATTGAAAGCTAAGCTTATTGAAAGCAGAATGTTGAGGTGGTGTGGGGCGTTCCCATGGGCCTCCAAGTAGATTGGGATAAGACAGTAACATCTCCACGGAATACCCCTCCCCACTGCCCGAATAAACCAACCCTAAGCCCTGAAATCTAAACCCCAAAACCTATAAACCCCAAATCCTAAGAAGCTAAACCCTAAAAGCCAAACCCTAAACCCCAAACCCTATAGTAGTTTCCATTTCATCTTCCATTATCCCTATATAAACCCTATATTACCCTTATATAACCCTATATAACAAGACCCAAAATCACTGCTTCTCGGCAGGCAGCTCCCATAAACCCTGAACCCTAGCCCCAAAACCTAAACCCTAAACACCCTAAACCCTATATACCCTCGACACCCTATAGACCCTATATACCCTATATACCCCATAGACCCTCTATACCCCATATACCCATTATATACTAAATAGCCTATACACCCCATATACCCTACATACCCCATACACCCTAGATACCCCATCTATATATCTATATATATGTATATATACACCCCTAAACCCTAAACCCTAAACCCACCCTACAGACCCATTTTGGTACCTGAATGGCAGGCGGCTCCACACTGTCGGCCGCAGCGGCCATGGCGACCCTTGCCTTGCCTCACCGGCCTTTGGATTGCCCAATCAACCCTTGTAGCCGCATACTACAGGGGCCTAAATAACTACCAATATTATATAAGGTTATATAGGGTTTCGTATTGGGATAATGGAAAAGAAAGTGGAAACTACTATATTACAATAGGGTTTAGGGGCCTAAGTAATTACCAATATCATTTTAAATTGAAATCCATTTGAGTTACCATATACTATAATTTACACAAGGAATATGGAACCATAATACTGGTAATTATTTAGGCCTATATTATTGCTGTTGTAAGGGGTACAGTTTGCCTGAACCTCAAAAATAGGTAAAACAATGGCCCAAAACCACTTAGAGCAGCCCAAGGGGCCATCATTCTACATACTTTTGCGGTCTAGCTAGGGGTTAAGGTAAAGGGTTCAAGGGCTTCGGGTTTAGGGTTTGGAAGAACCATGTGGAAAATCAGATGGGAACTGAGTTCGTGGGCTTGCGTTTGGACTGTGGCGTAGGGGCCTGTCTCATTGGAGTAGAGTTTGGGAATAGATTATGCTACATAGTCATATAAGGATTACCAGGGAATAGCGTTGGTACTTATTTTCATGGGTCTGTTGCACGTGGTTCAAGCAACTAAGGTTACATGCTTCTTCTTCTTAATTCTTTTTAATACACTGCATCTTACTCCATATTCGTGGTCAATTTAATACCCAAATTTTGTAAACAGCTACGCACATTGCTGCGCTTGGGATTCTTCGAGCACGTGAAGAAATCATGAAACCCTAAACCCCAAGCCCTAACCATGAACACCAAGCATGAGCAGAGCCCACCTTGATGCATGCCCAAGGTAAGAGATCCCAGAATGCCCCATGCCGGGTTTGGGCTTTAGGGGTTAGGGTTCAGGGTTGGGGTTAGGGTTTAGGGGTTAGGGTTTAGGATGGTTTAGGGCATAGCAAGTATGTTTATATAGTCCCCCTTAAGCCCCTTAAGTAGATAGAATATGAGGTATATGGGGATCTTATTATAACATACCCCAAAAACCATATTCTATCTACTCTAACCCTTACAATCCATATACTAGCCCCAGTTATGCCCGTTACTAACCTCCTAAACCCTAAACCCCTAAACCCTAAACTAAGTCCCCCTGACCCTCCAAGTAGGGCCCTGGGGAGTGATTATAAAGGGTCCTTCTCGTGGAGCTGGACTACCAAAAATATGCCCAGGCATTTGGGGAAAAAGTGTTATGTCTTATAGAGTGGTATCTGGGTATATACAAATATATACTTATGTAGTGGCATCTGGGTATATATATATATATGTATACAAATAGGGTTTAGGGATTAGGGTAGGGTTATTACTGAAACACATTTGCACCCAACGCCTTGTACTCGCGGCATCGGACGTTCAAAGAGTCAAGGCCCTGCCAGGAGAATTTGGATCTCAGCTGTTTGTCTGTCTTAGGGTTCAGGGTTTAGGCTGAAAATCCATCCTCTTTCGGAATTCGGATGGAAGGTAGGCCGCAGAGTCTTACAAAGAGTATCCGAAAAAATGTTTAAATGAGGGTAGCAAACCTTGACCTTAAATTCTTACCTGGACCTCAATGTAAATCCTTTGCTGGCCTAATAATTCCCCTGACAAGAACCAAAAGGGCTATTAGTCTACAGTTGCTGATTGGGAGTGGTCCAGCCCTAAACCCCAAATGCCCAGCCGAAACTCAAGGAGCGCTGGCATAACGCATTCGACCCTGTAATTCGAAGGGTTCAAGAAGGACATAAAACAATGAACTACTAACATGTCAATAATACACATCTAGTTTCTCAGATTTCCATCCGCAGAACAGCACCAAACGACTGAGTAAAACCATGGCTCATGCTTTCTGACCAATTGGCCGAGACCTCATCATAGATGTAGTCTGCGCCAAAGGCACCAATGATAAAGGATCGCTGCCTTTTCTGTTGCGCCGCGCTCGGAACCGGGTAGTCTTGCGCCGCGCTCGGAACCGGGTAGTCTGGGACATCTGGCTCTGCTGGCTGCGGCATTCTGCCCTTTGGGCTATGGCTGACTCTAAAGTCACTGAAGTAACAGCTGTTTACTGTAAGTAGTGTTCTCTCCAACAGGTATGGCCTGTGGAGCAGGACATGCCTTGGGTTATGAGGATAGGTCATTCAGTCATTCAAGATGGAGGGCCATGTACACACTTCTTGCTGCATGCTTTACAAATATCAATCACTGACACCGAGTTTGCAACTTGCAAATTGCTGATAAGGCTTCAGTCAAGAAGGCAGGTGTATCAAGTTGCAGCACCATAAGACTCAGGAGGCAGGAGCCACAAATACCAAAAACCCCAAACCTACAACCATCAGGTATCCTGGACCCTTACCCTGAAGCCCAGTGCCACAATCACCAGACAAGCCCAGATGCAGGCGCTAGTGAAGGTGAAAGTCCAGCAAATACCATACTGCCATACTAGGTGCCAACCCCCAAAGTGACAAGGAACCCCAAACAGCCCCTTCAGTGTTTAGGTTTGCGGGATTCGGGACTTAAGGTTTAGGGTTGCGGGATTAGGGTTTAGGGTTTAGGGTCCAGGGATGAGGGTTGAGGGTAGTTAGGGTTCAATGTTACCTTGTTAAGGACAGCAGTCTCTATGATTGTAGATTTTTTCCAGACGTTCCATGCTTGTTTGAGGGATTGGTAGGTGGGTTGTTTATCTCAGAACCATACCGATTGGTTCCTTTTAAGGTAGACCCTAACTCCAATAACCCCTAGATTACCTAGGGCCAGTCTTCTTCCAACAGAAATGACTCCTCCAACCCCAAACCCTAAACCCTAAACCTCTCCCCAAGAACCCTTTTTCTAAACTCTAAACCTTAATGAGTTCTCCCAAGCTCTAGAGTTTCTAGTTCAGCTTCCAGGTACGCACCAAAACCCTGAAATGTCTCAGGCGGCCTGCATAACGGTGTCGCCGTCTGTCCCTGGCAACTCCTTGTACCAAGAGTTGAATTGCCAGTGCTTCGGGGAGAGTCGGGAAGTGGATCCCGATAAGGATCGAGAAGGCTTCTGGGGCTCTGGGCTTATGCTGGTAGATTCCGAGGGCCGCCAAAAAGCACTGACCCCTAAGAATGAATCTTTTTAACAGGATTACAAGGAAAGCCCTAAACTCCAGCAAACCCTGAAAATGCAAAGCCCTCAAGGTATCAAGGGGAGACTGTCCTATTTGGAGGTCTATAGAAGGTGCTAGTGACCGCAGGCTTGAATATACGCGACCAGGGACTTTGCCCTGAGGCTCTGCGGCTCAAAGTGGTAACTACTTGGGGCCATGAAGTCTTCACTCGATTTATTGAGTTTTACTTGGCTTTGGACCCGCAACGTGAAGGGCAGGAAATACGACTGTGTTGAAATTGTGGCAGAATTTCCATCCACCACATGATTGCACATGCTATGAAGACCTCATGGGCCACGTGGTCTATCTTTCTTCGAGTCTCCCTACACCCTATAACCTGTGAACCTAAACCATGTATTCAAGGATCTGATGGCTCATCCTGCGCATGCACCAGTTAATTCCATCCAATCTCTCCCTGAACTCAATCCTGAATCTTTTTATGGACCCTCATCCCATAAACCTGGACCCCTCTAATCCATGTGCAAACCAGTTGCTGCTATGTTGCTTTCGAATCCCTTCCAACAAATCATTCTTGCCAAATCCTACGCCCTGAGCCCTCGACTGTAAACCGTCGACCCCACATGCCAAACACCATATTAGCTTTCATTTTCTGCTCCAGTCCGCCATCCCCGTCCACTCGAAACCTTAAAAACACAATTGAACACTAAACCCAACGCAAGCCTTAAGCCGTGAACTCCAAATCACAAACTCCATAGCCCTGGACCACCTCTTCCCGAAACCCTAATTGAAGACCTGAAGTCTTAGGCTTAAGACCCTCAACTGGTAAACTCTAGTCCTGAGCTCTTAACCTTAAACTCTGAAACCCAACCTTTCAAGCTCAGCCCCTCCCAGACCCCCAAGAGGATCCCAAACTTACACCCTTTAGGGCTTAGGGTTTAGGGAATCCGAAACCTACATCCTCTATGCTAACCTCCGCATCCCTTAACCCCGAACCCCGAACCCCAAACCCACATCCCTCCTTTATATAACCTCCACATGAGTCCATCTCTCTGGATCTAGGCCCCAGAGTTTGAAAAATGTGCTAGTTTCTTTGAAGTTTTGGCTTTCGGGTGTAGGGAATATATGACCCCATACATAACACCTTGGCCACAAATCCTGAATCATGTGCTAGTTTCTATGTTTTCCACTCTGGCTACATCCCCATGACAATCTCTGTACATGTCTACATTGAGATAGGGTCTTGGCTTGAGGGTTTAGGGCTCTTATATATATGTATATGATATGATATGATATGATATGATATGTATAGAGAGAGAGAGAGAGAGAGAGACCCAAAACCCTGAAGCCAAAACCCTAGATCCCTGCTGCCGAGTGGCGTAGACCTTCAGGTGAGGCTTGACGCCTGGGACGATGCCCCGAAGCGACAGCGCCTCCGGAAAGAGAACGCCTGAGGTAGGAACTTTCTACACTGTTTGGGATTTCAACAAGGTCTAATGGTTCGGGCTTATGGTATGGACCCAGGGAGCCTGATGAATACTAAGTCGATATTAGAATCCCGAATAGGACTCAAGGAAATATCCCTCAAATGATACCAGGGTCCCGAACATGACTTAAAGAAATATACTGGAATCCCTAGTCTGATTCAGGGAATGTTCCTGCACTGAGGTGTCACTGGGGAGGCTTTAGGGCATAGGATGCGGGGCTCTGGCTTCAAGTTTTGCATTGAGACTTTGAAGGGGCTGCAGATTACAGTTTAGGGTGTAATTACGTAGACTAGCCCAGACCCTCAAGAAGGTAGAGGTACCAACATTTTGGGTACAAATGCCCTTTTTCGTAGGTACATTGGTTCCTCTAGGTAGCTGTTAGGGTCCTGGGCTTCAATAAAACT